TGACATAGACTGTTCAGCTTCTAGATGCGATATTTGTCATTTTTTAAATGATACTATCAGTATGAAAATATTTCATTGCTTCTGATAGACAATAAGTACATTTATTCCCACAATCGCCATTGCAAGCCGAAGATTTAAATTGTGTACTCCTCTGGATGCCTGATGCAAGACTCCCTCGATCTTGCATAAGACATGTATGGGTCGGAATTCACACAACAATCCACATGCCACAAACATGACAAAGGTCCCAAATAGTGAAAAAAAGAACGATCAATTTCTTTTCACTCTAATGATGGAAGTTATGAAAACATCACAAGACCACTGTAAGACAGTAAATTCTTATAATTTATATGATGATAGACATGTAAGTGCCGTTTGAACACGTGAACCGCGGCCACATGTGAGGAACTGACCACAGTGGAAATGAGATAGTGCTGATTTTTATATAGACAGGGTCAACATCCCCTCTTCCAATGAAAGGGGAGAGAGGGGGGGGGGTTGTGGATTCCAGTATTTTAATCTATAGCTTTGCTATGATGGTAAACATCATCAAAGACATTTTATGTATTGCATGTATTTATATTTTAAATTTCAATTTATAATTGTTTTCCGTGGCGTTCATTACCTTTTTGGAAGCAATTCTTTTCTTTCCTTTTAACACTAAAATGGATGCTCAAACTTAGAAATTGAATAAAATATACATGCAGTATGCCCCCCCCCTCCACATCATGCATTGCCTCGAAATGCACAACTGAAAACTGTTATTTAATAAGACATGTATTTTAAAACAATTTAACACAAAGTCAACCTTCTTTTATTCATCATAATCTAGCTATATATATCATTTTTATAGAACTTAACGTGATATTAGTTGCCATGGTGGCTTTTGTTCATTTACCGGTATGAGATGAACTTTCTCTGATCTGTATATCTGCACCGAAGAGAATTTATTGGAAATCATTGTAATGATCACGATACAGACTAGCTAAATTTTATTCTATGCTTTATTATTTATTATGTACAGCATTATGTTACAAATAAGAAAACGATTACAATAATTTAACTTTTTTTACAATGGCATTTATTACATTGAAGGAGCACAACATGATGGATAAATCAAATCATAAACCATTACAAAACAAGAAAGAAACTTTCTGTATTCCAGTGGCTGACACTCAGCTTTTTTAAAAAAGCTAACCTTGTAAATAAAATTGTATTGAGTTTCAACGTACAGAAGCAGAATGACATGTAAAAAATCATATCAAAGTAAAAATATAATACACATAAACGTATAATTAATATAAATTAATTTTGAAGTTTGTCGTGCGAATAACGTTTATAATTCGCACGACCGTCGTGCGAATAACTTTAGTTATTGGCACGACCGTCGTGCGGATAACATCGGTAATTAGCACGACCGTCGTGCGGATAGCCTCGGCCTACCAAAAAACAACCCCCCAAATACAATACACTACAAGTATTAGCTTTCCTAAAAAGCTCGTCTGACGTAGTTTGCTTAAATTCACAAAGCAAATAATTATATATCAATAAAATCAATAATTATATATATTTTACATATTTTTTTCGTTCGGTAATTTATCTTTAAAAGACCATGTGTAATTGATATTGCCATGGCAGCTCAATTTCTTTTAAATCATGGTGAAGATGAATTTACTGAACTCAATTTATTTGCAATAACATCTTTCTTTTCTCATTAATACTACGTTTTTTTTAATAACATATTTTCTATGGAAATGGGGTATAGCATTTTAAAAAAATTACCAAATGAAATGTTATTTCCAACAATGAAGTTCAGAGTACATAATGTCAACAGAAATTATTTTGTAATCTATGTATATATTTTTCAATTACTCAAGTTCAGTTTAATTCTAAACTATTTTATGAAATGCCATGATATAAATATATCATTATATAATGTTCTATACCATTGTCATTAAAAGTTATGCATCGTTTTACCAGTACAATACTAGTGGTCAGGCCAAGAAAACTCATTCTATCCGGAGAGCGAACTCAATAAAAGCCGAATTAACGTTAATCGGTGATTCTTCCCCAGTGAGATGTGCGCGCGAGGCAATTAATGTCAGCAGTTTTGAGGGAGGGATATTAAGTTTTTTCTGGGTTTAAACAGGTACGTAGCAACGGGAGCCCCCCCCCCCTATTTTTTTCCCAACATTGCCTTTACTTTAGAAAATGTCCATTGAAAGGTTGGTCCCCCCCACTTCTAACTTGTTACCACAGTAAAGAGTAAAGTGATATCAAGGAAATGTAGTATTGTACGCAAAAAAAAGAAGTGAAAGGAAGTTGGCCTTGCAAAAAGTTGGCCACTAACCCCCCCCCCCCCTCGCTTCTACAAAGCCTCTCTCTCTCTTTTTTTTTTTTTTTTTGCTTGTCAGCTTTTAGAAGAAAATTTTTTTTCTCTGGCTTGCCCCCCTCCCCCACTTTAAAACACGATGCTACGTGCCTGTTTAAACATAGGTAGAACACTTATTTTTTCATGCCAAGAAATCTCGTCCGGTTTACGCACTGATGAAGTCAATAAAAGTGTAAATGATGCAAATCACCCATATTCCCCAAACGCTAGCAAGACAATTTACGGCAGCAGATTTCGATTTAAAGGGGGGAGGATCATAGGTTTTCAGCTTTCTTAGTTAAAGAAAATAAACTTGATATATTCCACCATTTATTTCTATCAGTGATATTTTTACATTACATGTAAAATGAAAATATTAACATAGCCAACTAGGTTGCGTCACACCGGTAATTGTTTTCACTATAAAATTCCATACAGAATAAAAAGTCGTAAAAAAAATCTGGTATTTGTTTACTTGAAAAAATATCTAGCAGGAGGTGTTAAACATTACCTGTCACACTAGCTGACACACTCTCACACACAAAACGGTACCTACACGGCATTTTCTGACTTTTTTCATCTGCAAACAGGCTACCCTCAAATCCACGTGTTTTCAATGTGTTTATAAACATTCCGAGTGTACCGCAGGAAGTAGCATCCTATTCCCGGAAAAAAATAGTTCCTGTCAAAAACCTTTATTTGTTCAAAAAGTACATAAAATTTACTAGGAACAGGTACCAAAGTTGTAAAAATGGCTCGGAAGAGAATAGAAAAACGTCTCAAAAGAAAGGACCTACATTTGAGTAAGTTCATTTTGATTGGTCAATTACCGGTGTGATACCTCTACCAATTTAGTACTCCTCTCCCTCTTGTTTAACCAGGAAATGATGTCAACTTCCGGGAATGTGGTACCCTTTTCCCCATAATTCGACGCGCGGTACTTCCACAACTACCAAGTTCATCGTACCCGACGTTAATTTATGCTCAGGAAAAAAAACTACATGGAAATACGTAAAAAATTGAAAGACAGCATATTTCTACTGACGAATTAGTTTACCATAATTAATGATTTTTAACTTTCTTTTATTTTAACTTACTTTTTTTTTTTACAGTATTTAAAAAATATGACCCCCACCCCCCCCCCCCCCCCAAAAAAAAAGGAAGGGGTGCAAAGGCTTCTAAATTATTAGTTTTGTACCTGTGTTTTAAACCCAGTAAAACTTAAGATCCCTCCCTCATAACTGTTGACATTAATTGCCTCGCCAAAATCCTTTGGGGGGAGTTTCACAGATTAACGTTAATTCGGCTTTTATTGAGTCCGCTCTTCGGACAGACTGCTAAGGTTTTCTTGGCATGAGAACCCTTGCATACACACCTTTTTTTTTGGGGGGGGGGTTGGGTAGGGGGCATCTAAATCAAATGTTGTTAAAAGTGTAAAATAAAGGGAAAAGAAAGTTTAATTAATTATAATAAGCTGACTTTCAATTTTTTTCGTATATCTATATCATAACATTGGCTATTTAAATATTTTCATTTTAAAAGTAAAAATATCAATGATTGAAATAAAAGGTGGAATGTATCAAGTTTTAATTATCTTTCTTTAACTAAGAAAAGCTGAAAACCTAGGAACCACCTCCTGAAATCTGTTGCCGTAAATTGTCTTGCCAGCGTTAAGGGAATATGGGTTATTTGCCTCAATGATACTTTTACTGACTCCATTGCTTTGGAAAATTTGACGTGATTTCTTGGCATGAAACCACGAAAACAATATAATTTTTATATAAGATTCCAAGAAAAATAAACTCTACCACCTTTTCGTTCGGTAAATTAAAAAAATCCGAATGTATAATATCTCATACTTGTACATGATTAAATCGATTTATGTTATAACCTGTCATGTTATAATTATAGATGTAACAGAGGTAAAACTGTGGTGAGGCAAAGCCACTAACATTTATGATTTTACATACGTACAGTAAAAAACACACTAACTTACACAGCAAGAACATTAAATTTAAGCTCTTGCATTGTTCAAGTAATGTTTTTTATGTTAAATGACCTTACTGATTTCTTTATTCAACAAACAAAATAAAATGATTGCAAATGATATCAATGGGAAGATCTTTGTTTGATCACTTAATGGCCGGCGCGTATAAACAGCGATAACAATCTTAGCAGAGCTTTACACATGATGACCATTCCCCTGCTGTTAATTGATGGATGTAATTCTGAAGTCAGTAGGAAAAGAAACAAGAAGACGCAAACTAAGTTACGTGTAATCGTCTAAAATATAATCGCTGGATTGGAGTTTTTTTTTTGTACTATATATAGTGGGAGCAGGGCAACTAAAGAATGTATTGGACCACGTGCTCAGTTAAGTAAATAAAAGATTAAAAGCGCATTTCCTCCTTGGCTGAACGACATGCGTCTTCAGAGATTATGTATGTATCGAAATTTCCACCATCAAACTATCTAAACAATTAATGGAACGACTGCATAAATAAGCCCTGGTTAAATCTAGTACTGTCTGACGCCAAGACGTCAGACAACAAGTACTAGATTTACCGCTTGTCGAGAAATTACGCATGCGCACTGTGATACGATATATACCCTTCATAACATAAGGTCTAGTCGAAAGGCCTTTAATTTTTTTTATAAAGTCTAGAAAAGTCTTCAAAGGAAAACAATGTCAGAACAATATCTTCAGGTCTCAGAAAGTGAAGGTTACGAGCCAGTAGAAATCCCAAGCGAAGATGACGGAACCCTTTTGCTGTCAACATTATCGGCACAATTTCCAGGAGCATGTGGTTTGAAGTACAGGAATCCACAGTCTGGTAATTTCAGAGGCGTCAGGCTTAATGAAGGTCTATTGTATCCTCCGGAAGGATCATGGGGAGATGTTGTTTACGTGGTGGTATTCCCTAAAATACCCAGCGCCCCACCGGAACAAGAGGATAATCAGATTCACTACATACCTAGTATTTGTGGTGAGTATACAGGTGTCTTAGACAGGTCCTGTACAATCAGTACATAGGTAGAATTGCCTACCTTAGCTTTATTTACCTACCTCAGGTATTAAGCACTTTTAAGTACAGTGAGGTTGCCAATAACGAATCGCACCCGTTAACGAATCACTTTCAGATGAAAATTCTGTATTTTTCTTATCAAAGTCCAATACTTAGCTTAACCTACCCTGTCATGCTAAATTATTCTTTCTTTTATCATTTATCATGAAATTATTAAATTCAACTCGTTCAATGTCCTAATTTTTAAATAAACATGAACAAGCTTATTTGTGACGCAGACCAGAAGCGTACATGCAAGCAGACTACTTTCACTTTTCGGTACCGCTCCAATGTGAATCGTACATTCTAGGTAAACAAATTTGGTGCAGATGTTTAATAAAATTATGTGTTTAAAAGCACTGAAAGCGTCAAACAATTTCTAAATCAGAAATTAATAGTATTCGCTTTAAAGTTGGGGGTATTTAGGTTTCCAATAACGAATCGCTGTTTCAAGAAATATATGACATGCAGGGATCCTGATAATTTTTCGTATGCGGTTTTTTGCACACCAGTTACAATAAAAAAAACAACAGAAGATGTCTACCAAAAGCGTACAATAAAGGTGGTTAAAATTAGGGCTGTGTATTGAGCCAAAAATTTCGATACGATACGATACAATATTTTTTAAAGCGATATGCGATATATTGGATTCTAAAACAAGTCCATCAGAAAAGGCTTCTAAATCATTTTAATGCATGAATTTCATAACAATTAAGTGTTTTATTATCCATCACCTTGTGTGCGGTGAGGCATGGATAATTGTGATTTAATTAGCTGCAGATCTGTAGCGTTATGGTTTTATATATTTGTCTTTGACCATAACGCTACAGATCCCGTAATGCAAAATAGGTGCAATTTATGGCGCAATGTTTTTTGCGCACTTTTGGGGAGAATTTCTCCATTTTCTAGCATTGGTCAATCAAGTACCTTTCACTCCCCAATAGTCGTCTTTCATATTTTCATTGATATAAGCAATTTTTCAAGCACACAAGCGGCAGAGTCACGTGATACCCGACATTCAGTGGTGGAATATTACAAAAACATAATCATTTAACTCGATTTTCAGCAATCTAACAAAATAATTTTAATCAAGCAAGTTTATCACTTGTAGAGGCGACTATAAAGGGTTGGGAGATGGATAAAATATACAGATTAGTTAAATAATGTGCCTAGAATTAGGGAGTGAAAGGTAGTTGATTGACCAATGCTAGAAAAGGAGAAATTCTCCCCAAAATTGCACAAAAAAATATTGCGCCGTAAATTGCACCTTTTCTGCATCACAAGATCTGTAGCATTATGGTCAAAGACAAATATATAAAACCATAACACTACAGATCTGCAGCTATGATTTAATATGCTGGATATAATCACCAATACATTATCATGTGAAACAGAACTGCTCACCTTTGTTATTTCATTCAAGAAGTAAATGTTAATTTGATAAAAAATTAACTGTTGTATATATAGGCTTAGCCCCAAACCTTTCAAAACTTTGATTGCAATCAGAGTTTTCCCTAAGAATCGATTAAAGGCCAGATTGACCGCTTCAATTGATACAAATGCTGTGCCTTAGATATAAAAATTGTTGCAAGTTTGACAGGGATTCTGTTCATAAAGATCAACCCTTAGGCTGTAACAATTGATTTTGAACCCTTAATTTACTTTGCAGGGCTCTACATTAAAGGTGCATGGACACAGATTTGAAGCTAATATTTTCTGTATAATATTACAAGTTGTAATTTACAACCTATATATTTCATTTAATCTAAAAGTTATTGAAACTTCAAATTTTTGGATGGGTTCCTTGCTCTCTCACAAACTTTACTTTTATACTTAATAATTAGGAAAAGTGGAAATCTTGTTGTGTATTAATGAAAAATATTAAAAGCTTTAATCTAGAAAAATAATTATATTCAGAGTAGAAATGTTGGAAAGCAAAACCCCTTCACAAGTATCATCATTCCGCGCTTTGTGTTGTGTAAGGAGTTTAGCAAATTAATCACACCCGTGAAACGTACACAGTTTTTGTAAACAGGCACAAGCTCTGTTATTGTTAATGTTTAGGATTCACTGGGTGCGTTCAGTTGTTAAAATCTGTTCACCACAACTGTGTGGACTGACAATATACTGCGTGTTTGTTTTGGTTTAATTCGAACATTTCTACTCTGAATTTTTTGGATTATAGTTTTTATTAGTATTTTTCATTTATACACAAAATATTAACTTCAAATCTGTGTCTATGCACCTTTAGCACTTGTCTGGTACCAGTGAAAAAAAATTACAGACAAGTAAATATTTCTGGGCACTTGTCCGATTGGACAAGTGCATTTTACTGTTAAGGAGTCTCTAAATAGTAATTTAAAGAATGACTGTTGAAAGTTATTGGTGGTTTCAAGATGGAAGCTGTACATAAAACCGGACTTCGTTCTTCCCTATAGTGATCACTATCAATTGAGTTCACATTAGACTGGGATCGAAGTTCACTTAAATTGCATACTACTGGAAGGCATGGAGCTTACTAAGTTTGGATTCTGTATGATGATGACAGGTTCACTTGAGAACTTTTATGTTTTTGTGAGGACAGAAAGCCTACATAAAATTTCATTTTATGTGTGTGTTGTATTTTTCAATAAAATCACACATCAATCAAAATTTATTGAAAAATTTCTTGACAAGTGAAGTTAAAGTTGGGACAAGTAAATGTTTTAGTCACTAGTCCAAATGGACAAGTAGGAAAAAAGTTAATGTAGTGCCCTGCTTTGAATTGTGGAATATATTGCACAGAAAAGAGTGATTTTTTCATGATTTTTTTTCAGATGAGTTAAAAGTTCAAAATTATCACTGCATCAAAAAGTGATTTTCTGCATATCCTGAGAAAATGATAATTCAATTCTTTAAAAATCTTCTTCTCTGCTCCTGGGTATCAAATAAACTAACTAAGTACATAGTTATGATTAGCAAGAGTGTCTCTTCCAAAATTGTGAATTTTATGGCCCCAGGGTCCAGTCTATGCGAAAGTCACTGGACCGTCAGTTTTTACCGGTAAAATTTAGGTCGGGTCGGTAAAAAATTTCAGTATACAGGACCAAATGTCCGATAAAAAATAAGGCCAAATAAATCTAAATTAAGAGGTACACATGGTCAAACTCTCCACAAATATCCTTTATTTGACCAATTTAGCAGTAAAACCTGATTAATTTTTATGTATTACAACCCTGTCATGATCGTTTTTATTCTAATTCGAATTTCCTCTGTCAAGGATTAGAGATCTCTAGATAGCTCATACGTAGAGTTGGCTGGGAAAATATTTAGATAGCTCATACGTAGATTCGGTTGGGAAATTATTTTCAAATGATTATTGAACTTGAGTAACCATAATGAATTGTTTCAGGAAAAATAAATATTCATTGAAAGTGCATATTAAATTTAAGAAAATCTTTGATGCAGTGTATGTTGTATAAGTCAAATATGAAGAAAAAAATGCATGCAATTGTATGAATAGATACCTTTTACAAAGGAAAATTATAGATATTTACCTTGTTTATTTCACTCTGAATTTATTTAAAGTTATACATTTCACAGTGAGAATTAACCCCATTCCACCCACCCTCTCAATCTCAGTAACATAATGATGTATGGATTAAACGGGGGAAAAAATTCGGTCTGGTAAGAAATTGTTCGGTCTGGTAAAAAAATTTTTTTTACCAGACATTTTGTCCTGTAAAAATTTTAAACTTTCGCGTAGACTGAGGGTCAGTGGTTCTGGTGTTAGGGCGAGGCTCTATTGATTATATAGTGAAAATACATGTATTCTTTGAAAATCTTCTTCTCTTCTCCTGGGTATTAAATAAACCAACTAAGTACATAGTTATGATGAGAAAGAGTGCCTCTTTCAAAATTGTGAATTTTATGGCCCCAGGGTCAGGGGTTCTGGTGTTAGGACGGGGCTCTTTTGATCATATATTGAAAATACATTAATTCTTCGAAAATCTTTCTTTTGCTCCTGGGTTTTATGCCAATGATCCAAGTATATATATTTATGATGAAGAGAGGTGCATCTAGCAAAATGATTATTTTTTATGCCCCCCTGGGTCGGGGGGGGGGGGGTACATAGTCTGAAAATAAATTAATGCTTTGAATTCTGCTCTTTGGTATTAATCAGCCATATATGATGAATTTATGATAAAATTTCAAAATTTTGAAATATGTGGCCCAAGGGTCAGTGGTTTCTTTAGGGTGAGGTGCAAAACTTGTTATAAAGTGGAAGTGCATTTTCTCTTTGTTACTCTGATCAACCTCTGGGTATTAAGTAAATAGAGTTAAAGTTTATAATTATGATAAGCAATGGTGCCTCTTTCAAAATTGTGAATTGTGAATTTCATGGCTTCTGGTTTAAAACACAAACCAAAGTTAAATGTTTGAAAGTTGTTACACAATACTCAGGTGACCTATAAGGCCCGTGGGCCTCTTGTTTATTTGATGCATTAAAGAATATTCAACTGCTGGCATGTTACAGATAACAAGAGAAAAGGAGATGATATAGAGAGTCCGGGCTCAAAAACTCGACGTATGGACCAGAAGAGATGTGTAGATCTTATTGTGTTGGGATTACCTTGGAAGAGTACAGAAGAGGACATGCGCACATATTTTTCCCAGTTTGGAGAGCTATTATTAGTTCAGGTTTGTAAATTTAATAAAATGAATTTTAAATTAAGCCTTTACATATATTTGTAGTGAATGTTAATGACCTCAGATTATTTATTCATAACATTTTTAGCTAGCCTGAGTGGAAAGCTCAAGTGAGCTTTTCAGTGATTCATTTTGAAAATGGTTATGAATTGCCTTTTAATGAAAACAGTGTGTCCCATTCCATAATCAATGCATCCAAATCCAAGGGTACCTTATATTAAAGCTGAACACGACTCGTAAATAGGCATACTCCATTTTTAGGTCACCTGAGTAAACTCAGGTGACCTATTGCTATCCGTTTTCGTCCGTCGTCGTCCGTCGTGTGTCGTGTGTTGTGTGTCGTGTGTCGTGTGTTAACATTTGAACATTTTCAGCTTCTTCTCTGCAACCACTGAACCAATTTCAACCAAATTTGGCACAAAGCATCTATGGGTGAAGGGGAACGAAAATTGTGAATTTCATGATCCCTGCCCCCCTGGGGCCTGAGGGGTGGGGCCAAAACCACTAAAATTAATGCAATCTTTAAAAATCTTCTTCTTTACTCCTGGACATCAAGCAGTCAAACTATTTGCATGATTGTAATCAGCATTGAGTCCTCTACCAAAATTGTGAAATTCATGGCCCTGGGGTCAGGGGTTCTAGTGCTAGGGCGGGGCTAAATAAGTATATAGTGAAAATGCATTATTTCTTTGAAAATCTTCTTCTCTGCTCCTGGGTATTAAATAAACCAACTAAGTACATAGTTATGATGAGCAAGAGTGCCTCTACCAAAATTGTGAATTTTATGGCCCCAGGGTCAGGGGTTCTGGTGTTAGGGTGGGGCTCTATTGATTATATAGTAAAAATACATGATTTCTTTGAAAATCTTCTTCTCTGCCCCTGGGTATTAAATAAACCAAGTAAGTAAATAATTATGATGAGCAAGAGTGCCTCTACCAAAATTGTGAATTTTATGGCCCCAGGGTCAAGGGTTCTGGTGTTGGGGGGGGGGGCTCTATTGATTATATAGTGAAATTACATGAATTCTTTGAAAATCTTCTTCTCTGCTCCTAGGTATTAAATAAACTAACTAAGTGCATAGTTATGATGAGCAAGAGTGTCTCTACAAAAATTGTGAATTTTATGGCCCCAGCATCAATGGTTCTGGTGTGTGGGGGGGGGACTTTATTGTTTATAAAGTGAAAATACATGAATTCTTTGAAAATCTTCTTCTCTGCTCCTAGGTATTAAATAAACTAACTAAGTACATAGTTATGATAAGCAAGAATGCCTCTTCTAAAATTTTGAATTTCATTGCCCCAGGGTCTGGGGTTCTGGTGTTAGGGTGGGGCTCTATTGATTATATAGTGAAAATACATTGTACATTAAATCTTTGAAAATTTTCTTCTCTGTCTCTGGGTATGAAGCAGATGAACTACCTATATAGTTATGATGAACAAGGGCCCTAATCTTGCAGAATTGTGAATTTCAAGGCCCCAGGGTCAGGGGTGGGGGGGGGGGCTCTACTTATATACTGAAAATGAATTAATTGTTTGAAATCTGGTCCTTTGTATTTATAAAACATTTATTTACTTTTTGATAGGCAATTTTAAGGGTGCCTTTTAAAAATTTGTGCAACCTAGGGTCAGGGGTTTATGTGAGAGTGTTAGGGGCACTACTGATTATTGATTAATATTACTGATTAGTTGGAGTGCATTTTTGTTCCCCTACCCTGCTTATGGTTATTCAGTAACCAAGCTAAGCAACTGCTAAGTTTATTGTTATGATGATCAATGGTGCCCTTTCAAAATTGTGAATGCCATATAGCATCTGGCTTAAAACATGAATCAAATTCAATACACTGTAACTGGAAAGTTGTTGCATAATGCTCAGGTGACCTATAAGGCCCGTGGGCCTCTTGTTGATAGCATTATCTACGATACATCAATACTAGGGTATACTCGTCGCATTCGTTACACCTGACTGCTTTATTGTCACGGGTATCGGCGGTGAATGGCGACCCGTGTTCGTGCTGGTTATCTTGCATTACCTTTGTTTATATTTTATTGCAGTTACGTGTTTGTATACTGCACTGACTTATACAACTATAATTTAAACTTATTTGGTATCTTATTTTCCTGCATTAGACGAAGTATTACGTTATTATTCTCGCTACCGAGTGCTGTATAGCATACGTCCGTCTTCTTCGGTGTCGACTGATTACACTGAACAGTGACTAAGTTTTGCCCTATTTATAGGGGTCTGCAGAGTAGCGAGACTCGGGAACAAAAATGGCAGACAGATTCCTTTTACGAATCGTGTTCAGCTTTAAAGAGAACAGCGTAAAATATGGTGAAATATAAGAGGGTATTGCACAAAAGTGTGAATGTTTTATGGTAGCTCTGAGTGTTTCATTCTATTATTATCAGTGAAAAGCAAGCATACACGATTATGTGGCATGAAAATAATATATTGTCAACTGTGCACCTTGTTTTTATTTTTAGATCTTAAATACGATTTAGGACATTGTATCAGTCAAAAATGCACAGATGCAGACCAGTTGTTCTTCTGAACTAAGTAAAGAAAGATTAAAACAAAATTAAAAAAAAAATAACCATAAAGAAAAATGATCAAATACTTATTAGCTAAGATTACAGCTAAAATACAAATGTATGTACACTTCAGAGATGTTCCACAGCAGACATAATAGAATTATGCCATGTATAACTTGCAGATATTTTAGATAGGGATGTCAAAAAGTACCGCGATCGAACGTCCGAGTATCGAATACGAAAACTGGTACTCGGTTACTCGGATGTATATTTCTTCTTATTCCATGTATCAAAAACTTATCAAAAATACTTTAATGTGCATACAATAATGAGAGTGCCATCACTTACACGTGTAAAACACCCGTTATCGCCTGTGGCTGTGTATATACAGTAATTAGTGATCAATCACCTAGTAATTAGTGACCAATCACCTGGTACACAGCTTTTCTGAACTATAGTCGTCCTTAATTTTTGGATGGCTTCAATGATTTGTTTTCATTGAGGATCGTTTAAGTATGTTGAACAGTTCTGTTTTTATCTTTAAATAAGTTTAAATCATTAAGTTAATGGTACCAAAATTCGACCTGCATAGATATGCTGCTACCGACTTAAAAATGTAAATAAATATTTTGTAAAACATGTAAATGAAGATTGAAATAAATGTTTAATGTCAGCTATGCCGAGTAAATTAATACACGACAAGGAATCCCAACAACGTCGGTTCCTTCTGCTTCGCTAGTGTGGTCATCACAACTTTAGGGGCGTTGCAAATTGATTAAAGCATCTTCCCCTCAAAAATGTATATCATTTATAAGTATTGGTGTATTAAATTGAAGTCTTTTGTGTGTATTTTTTAAAAATAAATAAAGTACAATAAATCATTTTCATTGGACTTGTATGATTTTAAACATGCACTAAAAAGGTAATACGTATAACATTGGTGTATAACTTTGCTTAACTGGGTTTAAGAAAATTAACAGACTTGTATTTACAATTTTACTGAGTACCCGGGTACTCGATCGGAAATACGTCCGAGTAACCGATTATCAAATATTGACCGATTTGACATCCCTAATTTTAGAAATAAAGTCCGCGTTTTCATGAATGTTGCAGGATAACCTCCGAGGTCAAGAAATATTGTTTGAAAGATAAAAGCCGAGGCTTTGATATTTCAAACAACATTTCGAGACCAAGGAGGTTATCTTGCATCATTCATGACAACAAGGACTTTATTCCTATTTTACAAAGAGCTTTAAAATAGGGCTGATCATTTCTTCTATAGAGAAACAAGTTAGGTCACCATGTCTTGAATACGCTGTTTCATTTAACACCAAAGAATAAATTGGTTTGTTCACATGCGTATTGCAGGGAGACGATTTGAGCTTAAGCTGCATTAAAAATAGCCTTTTATTTATTATAAATTTGTTTCATAAAATTTTATATTTTTTTTAATGACGTTCATGATTTATTGGAGAATAATGTCCGGCATTTCTTTGATCTTGGCAATAATCATGGTAGAATGAAGAATAACCAATAAGTATTCATTGTTTTACATATTAATGCCCCTTGTCATGCTTTCAATTTGTCAGAAATCTAGGAAACTATAGCATGACTACGCTGTCAATAACATGTCTCACCATTTTGGCTATTACACTGAACTCTACTTTAGATTTTACATCATAGTCTATTCCTCAGCAGTTGAATTGGGAATTTTTTTTTCTTGAATTAATGTTTTTAGCTCACATGAGCTGAAGGCTCAAGTGAGCTTTTCTGATCACATTTTGTCCGTCGTCCGTCCGTCCGTCTGTCTGTCCATCTGTCTAGCTGTCTGTCTGTAAACTTTTCACATTTTGATTTCCTCTTAAGAACCACTGGGCCAATTTTGACCAAACTTAGTATAAAGCATTCTTGGGTGAAGGGGAATTTAAATTGTTTAATTGAAGGGCCAAGTCCCCTCAAAGGGGAGATAATCAAGAAAAGACAAAAATAGGGTGGGGTCATTAAAAATCTTCTTCTCAAGAACCACTGGGCCAGAAAAGCTGAAACTTATTTAGAAGTATCCTGGGGTAGTAAAGATTCTAAATTGTTAATCATGACCCCCAGGGGTAGTAGAGGCCACTACGGGGAATCAAAGTTTTACATAGTAATATATAGGAAAAATCTTTAAAAATCTTCTTCTCAAGAACCACTGGGCCAGAAAAGCATAAACTTATGTGGAAGCAATCTGGGGTAGTGTAGATTCTAAATTGTTAAAATCTTGACTCCCAGGGGTAGGGCACAATGGGGAATCCAAGTTTTACATAGAAATATATAGGAAAAATCTTTAAAAATCTTCTTCTCAAGAACCACTGGGCCAGAAAAGCTGAAACTTTTGTGGAAGCATCCTGGGGTAGTGTAGATTCTAAATTGTTAAAATCTTGACTCCCAGGGGTAGGGCACAATGGGGAATCCAAGTTTTAC